AGGATTACACACAAAGAATGAGACTTCAGGGACGATTGTGCGAAATGTGTATAGTCCGTTTTCTTTAATTCAGGTCTCCTTGTAAATTAGCAAAACCTGACTGATTTCTGTGCTTGATCATATAGTAAACCATAAGATACTCAATTGAATGCAGAAACCGAAAAGCCGGCTTCAAATTGTCATATTTTTTTTAAGTTTTGGGTCGTCTTTACAGTCTCATTCTTTGTAGGTAAACCCGTATCTATATCTTAGCCAGAAGATGTTTGATACAGTTAAACCCTAAATAAGCCAAAATCGAAAGAATTCATCAAATTTCGTATTCTTCACTTTCTGATAATGGAATGTTGCAGATATTTAGTTTTTTTAATTGCATGATTATATGGAGCTCTTTAAAAAATGTTCACGCATATTAATGGCTATTTATTTATTTTCGCAAATACTGAGATTTACGTAAAATAGTAAAAAAACCCATTGAAAAATTGGCAAGACGACATTTGAAAAATTCTTTCGATGTATGGCTAATTTAGGGTATAACTGTACACATCACACTGTACACTGCACACTGTACATTGCACACTGTACATTGCACACTGTACACTTCAAACTATACATTCACACTGCACACAGCACACTGCACACAGCAAACTGCACACTGCACACTGCACACTGCACACTGCACACTGCACACTGCACACTGCACACTGCACACTGCAACTGCACACTGTAGTGTACACTGAACACTGCACACTTAACACACTTCCACTTCCACATCACACTTCACACTTCACACTTCACACTTCACACTTCACACATCACACTTCACACTTCACACTTCAAACTTCACACTTCACACCTCACACTGCACACTTCACACTGTATAGACGTTTGCCAAATTAGGCTTATCCGAATGCGTCAATAATGATGCCAAAAATAATTTTGCAATGTATTTTGGCAAAATAGTTTGAAAACATAAATTTCTTAAAGTCTCTTCAAGAATTTATGTAATTCTGTCCACGGGGTGGGGCGTCGGTATGATATCTATATATATGATAAATATATATTTATCATATACAGCTGGTGTCCCACGAAACATGACAGTTGGTAAATAGTTTAGAATGTCTTCTTCCATAATTTGTTGTTTGATACCAAAGACAATAATAAAAATATTAAAAATATTATTTGTGAGTCATGTTGTAGTAAAATTGATTTCAAAGTAAAATATTTAACCCAAAAAAATTTTCTAACTAAATAAAATAGGAAATAAACTGCAAAAAGCCTTTAATATCTAATACAGTTTAGGGAAGACATGTCATCAACTGTCATGTTTCGTGGGACACCCTGTATATGAGATATAAATATATATTTATCTACAGCATGGGATCTCACCCACACCCACACTGCATTTAGTTAGTTTAGAGCTCTAAATTGAGATTGAAGGGACAAATCAGAAAATTTAAAATAAAATAATTATTATTTAAATGAAAATGTATAAGGCTGATATAACAATTTTCTTGCAGAGAATACCAGGTTTGTCCAGTATTATTTGCGTATATTGGCGTTAAAGCTTGGAGATAATCTAATATGATATGGACCAATCATATATTGTACCATTGTTGTATCATCTGTCTAGGCAAGTATACTCTAATATTGAGTAGTATGTGAAACAATTTGTTGCCTGGTGCGGCCTGAGTCAGGGTTAGGGTGGTGGTTCGTCCAAACAAAGAGCAAGGTCTTCTGTATTACTTGCACTCACATAGAAGTGTTGTAGTTAAATATTCAACCAACAGGTGTCTCTGACTTTCTTCTTTGTACCGTGAATAACTCATCACCAGTATCCTACACATTGCCTCTTCTTTTTTTCAAATTACTCTTTCTTGACTTTACAAATTTTAAATGCTTAAAATAGTAAATTATTCAGTATTGTTTAGTTGACCTTCATTCACCAAATTAAATATAAAGAAATCTGTAATGTTACTGTCTGCAGGTACTTGTACCGGGGCGGTAGATTCTTACCTGATTCTTACTAAACCATCGTCCATAATTATTTTTAAACGTAATAATGCGATACATTATTCAGAGATCTTAGGAATATTCTGCGGAGATTTAGAATTATTATAATTGTATCTTATGCGTGTATTAAGTGATTGCCAGCCGAATAGACCTTTCGTGAAAAAAAGAGAAAAGTCTTTATCGTATTTTGTTAAACTTTTGCAAAATTCCTCATTTTTTTGCAAACATGAATTTTGCGAAAGGAAGCAAAAAGGATGCAAAATTTTGCGAAAAAAAATTTCACGTAAATCAATAAAGATTAAGTTTATAGAATTCTAAAGTTTCCAACTGGAGCGAGGTAAAAAGTGAAAGAATCCAAGTTTGCACAATTTTTTATTCTTTGTTAAGTTAGAGTTTATTACAATTTTCTTTTTAAGAACTACAAGCGTAAATTTTGAATCATTGAATCGATAATTGTACGTTAATATCATTAATGGTTTTATCCTCCTCCATAGCACTTAAGGGAAAAAAACCTAGTGCAAAATAGGAAAAATATCGATATTAAAAAAAATGTTGTTCCTAAATCTGGATGTTTTTGTTCTGAAATGAATCTAACACCCCCCTCACTAATAAATCCTGTATCTGCCCCTGCGCATAAACCTTGTCATTTTTAGATGTAGAAGCCTAAAATTAAATCATTAAATCGGAAATTGTACGTAAATTTTGAAAATGGTTTCAATCTTGAAATTCCGATTACAAACAAGTCTGTAGACCCTTATTTCCCCTTTTTTTAGACGCCTTGCATATATGACTTTTCTTTTAGGTTGAAATGAATCTGTCAAGGATAATTAGATATCTGTAAAATAAGTTTGAAAAAAACTATTTAAAAACATTTTCAGGGAAGGGACGACATTTTTGCCAGGTTGGGGGAATATTTGTTAATCATTACAACAACCCCCCCCCCCCCTACCAGGAAAATACCTAATATTGCTTGTCGTGGATGATTAAACTCCCTGCTGTATAGAGAACTAGCTGAAGAGCCCGGCGTTGCCCGTGAAATAAAAAATAGAAGAATAAAATTTTCGTTTTTTAGCCAATATATACCCCAATCGGTCCAGTCGTTTGGCCGGCTATACGCAACACATATTTGATTGTCTTGTTTTATTATAAAGATATACAGTGAAACCCTTAATAACGAAGACATCGAAAAAATTCATCAAATGTCGTATTATTCACTTTCTGATAATGGAATGTTGCAGTTATTTAGTTTTTTAATTAAATGATTATATGGAATTCTCCAAAACTGTTCCCCCATATTCATGGCTATTTATTTATTTTCGCAAATACTGAAATTTAAAAACTATGAAGTATAAGTTCATGCGCTCAATGCTCAAATAAATACAAGAGAAAATTGTGTTCCCTGTTGAAAAATGTAATATAAAGAAATATGATTTTTGATTCATTTATAAGGGGGGGGGGATTAATTGCACCTATAGTCTTTGCTATTCAGGATAATTGCACTTGTCTTTGCAATTCTGTGATCTTTTCAATTGAAGTTTTTACGGTTTTCATTAAATTCAATTATCAACTATTTTAGTGCAAAAAATGTAGAAATGCACTTTTGTGCAATGAATAATAAAGAACTAAATAATATTCCTCCTCAATTATAGAATTATACACCGTCATTACTGTTTAAGTATAAATAAATTGTCATTATGGTCTGTTGCACATAGCCCCGCCCCCACCACAAAATAGGAGGGGGGTCTTGATAGATTTACTTTACAATTCCAAGATATTTTATAAAACATTTAGTCATTTGAACGTTTAGTTTAATCAACTATGTTCAAAAAATTTTTTAAAAGTATCTTATTAATTTTAAATTTAAGTTTAAATACACTAAGAAACATAAAACTCTGAAAAAGGAAGACGACTTTTAAACTCAAGTTATGACTTTAAATAGTCCATGATTAAGAGACACAGTAAGTGTGCAGTGTAAGCAGGGTCGTTATTGAAAACGATCGTTGAACGATCGTTTTTAGTTTCGCTTCTCAATCGTTTTTAAAAACGATCGTTTCGTTTTTTGGAAAAAACGACAGTATTTAAAATAAACCACTCGTTTTGAACTTTTAGAAAACGGATAACGATCGTTTTTGAAAACGATCGATTTTTTTAAAATCGATTTGCAACCGTTTTTTAGACGATTGTTTTTTAAAAGACGATCGTTTTTCGTCGCTAACGAAACGACGAAATTTATGAAAACGGTCGTTTTTGGAAAAAAACGATCGTTTTTGAATGTCGTTTTACACAAAGTAAAAAAGTTGTGGGGGAGATAAAACTTCTTGATATTTTCTTGAAAACTACTCAATGTTAACTGCAGAAGCCCATCAGGTCTGTTTCCTTTTTTCGTTAACGATAGTTCGTCGTTAACGATCGTTATAACGAAGGGTCGTCTTTAACAATCGTTAACAAAGGGTCGTCTTTAACGATCGTTAACGAAGGTTCGTCGTTAACAATCGTTATCAAAGGGTCGTCTTCAACGATCGTTAACGAAACGACGATTTTATAAAACGATCGTTTTGAAAAACGATCTTTTTAATAACGATCGTTTTAAAAACGATATTTTAAACAAATTAACTTTTTTTAAAAAACGATCGTTTTGTTTTCGATTTTTCGTCGTCGTTTTCATAACGAATCGATCGTTTAAAAAAAATGAAAAAGTTAACATTCCTAAGTGTAAGTGATTTAATAAGTTATTACTAAAACTGTTGGTTTTTTAAAAACATCAAGCATTTAATTATTGCTTTAATGTCGTCTGCCTATTCCAAAGTTGTTTGGTTCTCGCTGTAAAATTCTGAAATTATGGATAGTTAAGATGTCTGTTTATTATGTAAACCAAATTCATGTCATATGAATCTTAATCTTAAAAAGCTTAAAATATTGAAATATTTAATATTTTTTTATTTTAATACCCCTTACTTTTTTCCGTTCATCCCTCCTTAAATTTCAGACTGAAAATGCGGGTGTTTTCAGTGTTTTGTGTTTTAGTCGTTTTCCTTGCTGGGGTCCAGGCTCAAGGCGGCGTTTTTTCAGGTAACAAAAAAAAACTTGAAACAAATTTATTTTTCAGGAAACAATGCTTTCTTATGTAAAATATCGTTTTCTAATGTACCATAGTGCTTTCCCATGAAAAAAAAAGTTTCCCTTGAAAAATAAACAATTTCTCAGGTAATGACTTTTAGCCAACAAAATTTTTTTTATGTAACAAAACATGGTCTTTTAAGACAAAACATTTGTTCAAGGTTCAACGCAGTCAGTGGGTTTTCTAAAATTTAATAATCAAGAGAGGCTTTTATAAAAAAAAATAAAAACACTTAGTAAAGTAAAAATTTAAAAGAACTATTTTTTTTTTTGTATTTTGAAACTAAAATTAATATGGGCTTTGTAATTTAAAGGGAGTGTAAAGGAAAAAGTGAAAAGAGGTATAGGCTGAAACCATAGATAAATTGATATAAAACTGTGTAAAATGTATACAAAAATTTATATAAATGCAATTTTGTATAAAAGTTGCAGTATTAAACAGATTATATTCAACAAATACACAAAACAATCTGAAAACTACGATATCCCACAGAAATTTGAGAATCTCAGGTTTGCTCCTATTATAATTTTTTGATTTTATTTAGCATTTTTAATAGATATAATAATTGATAATATTATAACATATAGTCCGCATAATCCGTATTACGTCACCAGAACTTCAGCAAATGGCAGTTCAGTATACTGGTCACGCGATTTCCGTCTGTATCACATGACAAAGATACTGCACTGCCATTGCCTGAGGTTCTGGTGACGTAATAGGGTCCATACGTAATTAAATTATCAATTTTATCTATTAAAAATGCAAAATAAAATTTACAAATTTATAATAGGAGCAAACCTAAGATTCTCAGGCTCCTGATGAATATCGTCATTTTCAGATTGGTTGCGTATTTGTTGAATATGAAATGTTTAATACTATACAACTTTTATACAAAATTGCATATATATGAATTTTCGTATTAATTTGACACAGTTTTATATCAATTTCTCGAGACAGGAACATCAGATAGATGTCTTTTATGTATCGTTCAACGCCTGAGATTCTCAGGTTTCATCCTATACCCCCTTTAATTATCCTTTACAGTCTCTTAAAACTCTAGTTTAAAAACTAATTAAAGTTGTAAGAACTAAGCAGAATTTAATCAAACTTTTTTTACATAATTGTTTTGTCTTTGAAATTTAAAGTTGAAAGATGAATTAAGTAAACAGATCTAACAGACCATGACTTGCATCAGACAGTTTAAAGTGTGTCAAAAAAATATTTATTTTATCAGATTTATAGAATAAATTTATAAATACATAAAATAAGCACTTTTTCTATAGGTAAAACTGGAAAAAAATTTACAACCATTTTTAAATTTTAGTATGAATGTTTTTTTTAAAGACGCCCTTTCAAATAAAAAATAAAATAAGATATTAACTCTATATACGTATCATCATACAATTAGTATATGTAGAATAACGTAAATTAACAATTTTTGAATAATAGTGTTTTCTTGATTTTATAGATTTAATATTTTTTATTTGTTGATATATTTATTAATGACGTTGAAAGAACATTATTTGAAAACATTATTTAAATTACAATTCAATAGGATTTATTTTTATCATTTAAAATTTGATCATCCTTTTTTATTTGTATTTGTAAATAATTAAAATATATTATTCAATGTCAATTTTTGAATAATATTTCTAGTTTAGTTATTAATAATAATAGTTTAATAATTAGTTTTTTTAATTTGCAGTGATAGGAACATTTTAGTTTCAACCCTTTGATATCATTTAATCTATAAAAACTTTGATCTAGCAAATACATGAAAACTATACGCCCAGTGTCCGAATTTAATGAATTTGAGCCGCGTCTTAAATCCGCCAAAAACTGGTTTGAATTGGGCGCCGGCTTAAATCTTGAAACAATGCATACGATTTTAAGTGGAACCAACGATATTTGAGCCGCGGCCTAAATTTAAGCTGCGGCTCAAATTCTTTAAATTCGGCATCTGGCTTGTTAAACGCTAGTTCTCGTATTTGCTAGCCATGTCTATATTTTGCACCGTGAATTTTAAATATATCCACACTTAAAGTTCTAACGTTTTTTTGATGGACTTTGAATTGAAATTTGATCGAAAATATCCCAAACCATGCAGGATGCACTTAACAACATACTTAAAAACTGAGCAAAAACTGTAATTTGAAATATCAAAAAGATGGAAGGACTAGAAAATTAGAATTTTAGGCAAATGAATTTAGTCTTTGCCACAAACTCTGATTTATAAATCTCTATATCTTTGCAACCCAATGTCGTAGACTTTAAATATTTCAAACTAAGCATTCTCCTAGATCAAATAACCTGAGTTTGAAATATCAAAGCTTTTCGCCTTCAAATTGAAAAGATATTAGAATAGGAAAATCAGAGTTTGTGGCAAAAACTCAATTCCATTCTTCCCCGGCTGAAGAATTAACAATATTAAGAAAAGTTTTACTTTTACGAATTATTATTGTTAGCATTATTTTTATTATCATTATCATTATTTTTGTTAGCATTTTTAATATCATTATTATAATAATAATTATTATTAAGGATTTATGAGTTTTGTAAACAGATTTAATCCTTTCCGTCCCACCTCGTCCTCTAGCCGTCCTCAATCCTTCTCTAGGCCGTCCGCGAACACTTTCTCTCGTCCTCCCTCAAACTCCTTCCAAGCTCCTTCGTCCAACTCTTTCCCTGCTCCTTCCTCTAACTCTTTTCCAGCTTCAAGTTCCAACTCCTTCGCTTCTCCTTCAAGCTCCAACTCCTTTCCTTCTCCTTCCTCCAACTCCTTCCCTTCTTCTTCCTCTAACTCCTTCCCTTCTCCTTCCTCTAACTCCTTTCCTTCTCCTCCCTCTAACTCCTTCCCTTCTCCTTCTGCTCCTTCATTTTCCTCTGCTGGGTAAAATATTTATTTTTATTTTTCAATATTTTCTAGTGTTAGACATCTTTTTATTTCTTTTTTTAGTTGTTTGGCTTTCCAAGGTCCTCTTTTATAGATCTGAATAGTTTTAAGAAGCTTTAAATTGTTTGATGTTTAAAGTTTGCTTTCACTGCTCAAGTTAAAATGTGAGCTCAGTCTGCAGGTGCCATATGTAAGACCTTCAAGACTTTAGTGGAGACATTTATTGAACAAAAAATCCTTGAGATTAAAGAACAAATCAAAAGAATCGTGATCTTTTCCTGACTAAAAAATAAACGACGTTTGGCGTAAATATTTTCAACGAATTTTGCGCATTTATTTCTTTAAAAATCTTTCCAGAAACATCCAGATAATTTACCGGTAGACTTTTTTGTGAATCAATTGTGTTTGTCATGCCAATAGTTCCATCAGCTCAAGCATATGAGACAATCAAATTATTTAATGATAATTCATTTTCAGATACGGTGTTAGGCGATTATATTAGTATATAATGAAGAATTTAAATTTTGATTTATATCAAGCTTTTAAACAGCAAGAATGCACAAAAAATGGAAGCAAAGAGAAGCTGTCTATCTAAAAAACTTCTTTTCAATAACTTGTGTAATTCAAAAAAGCTTGAAAACAATTAAAATTTCAATAAAAAGTAGTCTTTATTATATTGATATAATGAAGGAGGGCGGGGGGGGGGGTGCCTTTTCTCATTCTTATTTCTTATCATTACACGTTTTTAAAAAGTCATGATGTCAGATGGAAAAATACTTTATTTAAATGGGGAACTTAAGGAAATTTGTAAAATTCATGTTAATAAAAGTCCGGCATTGTTCGTGGAATGTCTAAAATTGTGGCAACGCCCTGGCTTTGGGTTTATCTCACCAACTTACATCAACTTTTTTGTAGCTCTAGACACATTCATTTTATTAATGTATTGTTTTCGTGTAAAAAGGGGGTAATTTGCAACGTACTGCATAATTTTAGCTTGCACATCTTAGTTTGCAGTGTACTGTGTAGTTTCTTGGGAATAACTGTAAGTAACAAAATGCTTATTTTTTCAAACACTTGTTTAGAATTATGCATTTTGCAATCTCAGGCTTCCTGCGGTATTAAAGTGGGTCTAGTGCCACTATAGTTTCAGTAGAAGTAAATATTTCCATTTACTGTTTTAGCGCCGATATAAGGATTTATATCTAATTAGATAATAAGATAGATAGAAATATACCGCCATGCAAATTCTATCGGTTTAGAATAGACGACAATCACATGACTGAACCCTGATTTGATCAGGCGCTAATGGACTCGGCATACTATGGTGGTGCCCTGACCTCCGTTGTAATATTGAGGGACTATGTAAATAGAGGGAATATCCGATTCACATGGTGCCTTTAAACCTTTCTGATCATGAATGTGACACGGGCAGCTGTAGTACATTTGAATTTCCGAGCCAGGTCAACCTTTCCGGTCCTAGTTTGTACTATAAGTAGTTCCATGGACAGGACTAGCCGGTGCAACAAGGTTGAAGCGGTCAGATTTCATATATGTTGAATTTACTTTTACTAAAGGGGCAGAGATGCGTGGTGAAAGATATCATAGTTTCTTTAGGTTTAAGGGGGGGGAGTCATGTTTCACCCCTTCCCCTCACAAGCTTTTAGTATATCTGGACCCCCCCACCCCCCACTGGCCCTATTATTCCAACTTATCGAGCCAGCCCATGGATGGATATAAGAAAAATATTAAAATATCATTTTTTATTTGATTTACATCTATATATAAAATAGTAATATATTTTTGTTTGTTTTTATGTCTTATAATATTTAACAACGGAACCCCTTAACCGATTTGCCTCAAATTTTAACTGCAGAACTCTGTAGGACAACGGGAATGTTCTTTATAGCTAGGTTAAAATGTTCCCGTGTAAGTACACATTTATAACAAAAAATACAATGTTTGAATGCATAATGCATTTTACTGGTTATTTTTCAACCCATTAAACTTGCTTTACTTTGAATGTTACAAACTTGTTTTATTACTCAATGTTTAAATATATATTTAGATTAGATATAGAATATATATATATATATATATATATATATATATACTAGTTTGGCTACGCTCAATAATAACAAGTCCCAGGTTAAATAAATACTTTATTAACTAACTTATTTTGGTCTGTAAATTTAAATTATCAAAATCATATATATATGGGTGACGTGGCGGGACTGTTGCTCCTCTCGCCGCGTCTTCATATCCGACTCAGACTCAGATCGTTTTCCGCCACACTAGGCTTTTAGTGCGCTTCGCCCACAACTTCTATTTCAACTTTTAATCGTGGCTTTATCTGTGAGCATCTTCTCTACAGTATAAAACAAAAACAAACAAAAATTCATAATTTCGCTCATTTTCTAAATTTTACTAAAGTAATTTTTAAGAAATATTTATAATTTTGATCATTCATAAACCATCCCTGAGGCACGTGAGGTCCCACACAAAATTTGTGAACATTGAAAACAAAGAAAAACAAATTACGCGGATTTTATCAAAAAAATTCGCGGCTTTTCAAGATTTTAAAAATTTGTTACGCGAGCCATGCTGCGTGAAGAAAGTCTGTTTGTCGCCCCTGCGTATTTCTGAGTTTCTCCTGAAG